TCCATGTACAAGCAGAAATGTGAATACAGGTAAATAGATGTATAAGTGGGAGATATGAATTGATATCAAATTGCTTTGATACGTTTCTCAAAGTAACTTGATGTATTCCAGAACAAAACAATACATTAGAAATAAAACAATAGATTGAGGGCTTAAAACCACAACTGTCTATGTCCAAATATGCCATTTTGAGTAAAAATGCATTTGAAAGTAGTTTGATTGCAAGCATAAAATCTGACAAAATGAAGTAGTTATGTTCAATGCCATTAACTTATGAATAATACTTGGTCAAACATCATACATGGAGGCCATGACCTTTTGACCCTGTCAATGTCAAAAACTTACAAAATGGGAGTGCCAAATACCATCCATGGAACTCTTCAGGAATAGCTAGGCTATTGCACAAGTTGATGAGATCCTTCTTCTTAAGGTTTAGTTTTTTTTTAATGCTTCTCTTGGTAGACAAGGTCCAGATTACGTGGAACTGATGATCTATCTTCTCGTAGTCATCCAAGTAGCTATAGATGGTAGCAGATGGTGCCTTGCTCTTCCTTCCTGTATTGGAAGCTCTTTACATGTAGCCAGTTGAAGACGTGTCCATCTTCGTCTGGGCGTTTGTTATTCATGATCTGCTGTGAGAGTTTTTTCAAATCATAAAAGTCTCCATGGCACATGTTTATGACCTTGTATGGAAGCCGACGTCTTAATTTGTGGAAGATTTTTTACCCAGTCATGCATTGTGAAGACATTGATGTTCTTTTTTTCTGTTTCAATAGCAGAATGCATGCTATTGCATTCCATGTGGGAATGCCCACTCTCCAGAAAATTGTGTGCGATGACTTTGAGATGTGTGTTCTGGATGGCATAGAGTAACGTTGCAGCCACATTCACTTTGCAAATCAAAGGAAGCCGAGACAAAAGTCCTCTTTCCAGCAACTACCTTGGCCTGGCATAGCTGCCAACATTTGGAATTTTCAATTAGTAACATTTAAAGTAAAACTGAATATCATGTGCGCATAGCGAACATCACGAGCACGAAGTCTCTTTAGCCGGGGTACTAGATGCTCTCTGGTGCAATCTGAGCCTATTTTAGGGACCATTTCCCATAAAATTCAACCTTTTAAAATGGGTAGTTGAGTAATTAGAAAAATGAGTTCTGAGAAAAACACAGGTTTACCTGCCTTCCCTGACACTCCCATACTACTCATTTAGAGCTCTGTATGTTGCAGATTTTGCTCTCTTCGGAAAATCAGAGTCACATTCCCTCATGTAGCAGGGTGTTGTTTGGCGAGCCTTAGTAATAAGGACACTTTCTAGAGTTTTGTTGCTCATGGACCCTCTGAAGTCAGTTTTGTTCTTTCGCACCTGACTGAAGACCCTTTCACATTCAGCATTGGTATGGGGTATGGTTAGAATCCCAAGCATTACTCTTGCAAGTCTGTCATAGCACAGTTCACCAGAAGCATTCTTCTCTGTCATCATACTTGTCCACTGCTTGTCAGTAGATTCCTCATTTTGCACTAAGTACGGAAGCTGAGCAAGTTGATAGATAAGAAACTGGTTCTCCAGAGCATCTAGGGCACTGTGCTTGTCTTCTTCTTCCTGAAGCAGCATGCAGGGGAACTTGTTGATGAAGAATTTAGAGAAGTTAATTTGGCATCCTTCTGACATGCAATGTCAGCCACTTGCACATGGATGAGAACATCAGACTTGAATGGAAACTTACTTACAATGTAGTCACATGCCTTGGTGTAATATGAACGCACTGCTGCATAAAACTTATGGCAATCAGACTCATCTAAAGTGTTCACAATTTCTCTTGTTGCGCTTCCTATGACCATTTCAGATTCTTCACGAAGATTCTCCTTGTTCTTGTAGTCCAGAAGGGTCAAGTCTGTGGCTGCAATGATTGCTTGTGGAGCTACAATTGGCTGTACAAGTCACGCAGTAGACTTTCTCGTATTCCTTTCAGCTTGTGTATCAGAGGACTTCTCATCTGGAAGATGACACTTTTCTTGTCAGACGCAATGATGCTGTGGCTGAGAAAATGTGCAATGGCTAATATTGGGTTTGAGTGCAATGACTTCAGAATTCTTTCCTGTCTTGTTTCATCCTTTACTGTCTGTCTTGTTTTCTTCTTTTCTCCACATCTTGTTTTTTTCATTTCCAGTCATTTTACTAGAAATCGTACTGGGATGACTGGAAGTTCCAGCCTTGAGCACTGTTGAGCCTGTTGCCTTGCCGACAAGTTTCCCAGTCTTCTGCTTCTTGCTAGGTGTATCCGAAGTGTCCCTCACTTGTCGTTTTTCCCCGAGTAGTACAGCTTGAAGATGGTCTACTGTGTTGTGGCTGTGGTGCTTGAAGTTGAACCTGGGAGGAAGAAAAATTATTGATTACCATATGAGAAAGAAATAAGACTACTGACACTGTTTACAATTAAAAAGATACACTACATTTGAAATCTTGGCACATGACTAGCATTATTGAATAAATGTTTATATCTGTAAACTGAACAGCGGAGTGAAGATGATTGGAAGAGAAAGAGCTAACAAGTAAATGAACTAAAAATAAGAAAGAAAAAATGATGAAAAGGTACATATTTAACTGTCACCCTGTATATATGATCAACTTTTGTACTCACTTGGGTCTGAGACTGGGCAGGTTTGCTCACATGTGGTGGATCTGCAGACACCTTCTTGGGAATGCGGAATGCTTGGAGTTGTGCAGTCATCTTGGTTTGGTGAGGAGGCTTTTCCTGTAGGACAAGACAAGTTTAAAAACTTCATGCGATGCCTGCAACACTATTGATAATGACTTTAATTTATAAGCAAACAATTTAATTACACATTAAATTAAATTTTGCAATTACCATTCTGGTTCATGTAGTTTTTTATTTTTTTCAAACTATTTTACAATGTAAAATGAAAATAACTATTGCCAATTTGAGGAGTAAAAGCTGATTAATTCAAACATTAAGAAAGCTCTCTACTGCTAGGGATAATCTATTCAAATCTGGTAATTTTAATGATGGCCATATTTAAATGGAATGAAAAGGAGTAGATGCCTTGTAGTAATACATTTTCTAGCCTTACCTGTAGTTGAGATCCCTGAGCAGGTTTATTTTTCACAGCTGGAGTTGGCTTCTTTGGAACAAGTGCAGTCTGGACACTATTCTTGGTTGCCTTGGTCTGTTGAGTAGGCTTCTTCTGCTGTGTCTGTTCAGTAGGCGTCTTGTGCTTGGTCTGTTGAGTAGGCTTCTACTGCTGGGCTGACACTTTGCTAGATAAATCTTGGCAAGCATTGGCCCAAGCTCAGCCATCTCGTACAAGCATGTTTCAGAATTGCCTGCACTAGCTTCGTTCCCAATTAGCATCTGGAACTTCTTGAGATTCAATTTCCTGTTCACGCTGGCTTCCAGATAGTAGAACACATCAATGAGGAGCGAGTCAATTGAATATGGTAATGCAGATGACACAGCTTTGGCAGCAAGATCAATTAGTTGATTGGGGCAACCAAGCACAATGAGGTTTGGCTGACACTTTCTGAGGCATGCCCCAATTCCCTTGTGTACACCAGTCATGCCTGATGCATTGTCTTATCCCAATGATGTGCAATTGTCCCATGAGATATCATGATTCTGCAGCTCTGTTATGAGCAATTGTGCAATATTTCCACCAGTTCCTGCCATTTCTAAGGTTGGGAGGGAAAGCAGAGTACAAGAAATTTGCTTACCATCATGGTAGTTGATGACAATTGGGTATAGTTACTGTCGCTGACATTACTCCCATCAGTTGATATTGCAAATGGTCGTGCTCTCATGTCTGAAACGATCTGTCCTTGTTCATCTTTTGCCATTTCACGCACAAGACAACAAGTTTGGTCCTTGCACTGGAAAACTTCTTAACCTCCTCAGAATTAGGAAAGGTTTTCCTCAACAATGGTCCCATGTGACTTGCAGCTGACAGAGGAATATTGTGCTCCAAATAAAATGATGTAAATAAGCACTCAGCTCTAGTTATATTAAAATCCTTGGAGGTTGACATCCATGATGTTATTTTTCATGCCGACGATTCAGACTGGAAAGCAGTGATGTGTTGCTTTGATTTGCAATGAACAACAATGTCATTACAACCGCCATGCAAAATTGACAAATCTTGGCGACATACCTTGCAAGTTGCATGATGTTTGCTCTTTCCTGATGATACAATGAAGTCAAAGTCAAGTCAAAGTCATCAGCATATTTCTTGTTGTAAGCTTGTCCTCTTTTGCGCTCCATCTTATTCACAATGATTTCCTGTCCTACACGATGCAAGGGTACTGCTTTGGAACCTTAAGCCTTTGTTTTTCGCACGAGATGGGTTTCCATGAAATTCTCCTTCTGTTCTCCCGACAACTGGTCATACTTCGTACATGTTGCACATTGGTCTTTTTTATTCATCATTACGTTTTTTCCGGGCAATGATATGGTGTTGCTTGGCCACAATCAGTGGAAGCTGCATAGGGAATCTAATCTGCTTAATTAGTAGAAAACTGCAAGTACTGCGCAATTCTTAATGAATGCATGAAAGTACTTGAAACAGTCTGGACATGAAAAGTAAAATGGCTAATGGACATACATGGGAATAGACAGTTCTGGCACACAAACTGAAATGAATATACAGTACTTTGGTGGACTTAACTCAATTTCACAAAAAATGGACATAGACAGTTCTGGTTTTAAGCCCTCGAGATATAATAAGAAATAAAAAACAATATAATACATATTAAAGAAAATAACATGAAATTTGCATATTCAAAATTTATGCAAATTAACCTTTGCATTTTCAAATATCGACAGCCCCCCCCCCCCCCCCCTGCAGTCAGGGGTTGCTCAAAATAGCCCAGGGCCAGTAGAATTTCAGAAATATGTTTGCTCTTTCATTAAAATTTAATGAGAAAATTGTAAAGCACAGTTTTTGTTGGGGTTGCAGGGGTTTACTCGTACATGTTTCTATGCGATTCCGTGTTTGTTTTTTTTGGGGAAAAAAGATTAAAAATTGTATTTTAAGATCGTATTTCACTCTTATTATCGTACTAAATATGATTTAATCGTACTGGTCGTACTCCAATTTTCATTGACTCAAACAACTTACATCATAGTGAATAACCTACTCAACTAAAACGCATTATCACTACCAAACAATAACATTCCAGCATTGCGTCCCGATATTAGTATTCTTTCATTATCATTAACCTTCCCATTTTGATATTCCATATATAACCATGATATCAACCTCTTCTTTCAATTCAATTAAATTAAATTTTATTTTATTCAAGTCCATTAAAAAAAGTACATTGAAAAACATTGTACATTGACAACATATTTACATGTAGGATACACAGTATACATTGAACTTTAAACACACAATTAAAAAGAGAAGTAAAGACAAGAGTAAGAAATCAAGGAAATAGATAATGTACATGAAATGGAAATTGCAAAAGAACCAAATAAAGGTTCTGTCGAGGCAATTCCCAGCTTATTAAAATACCGAAATTTTTACTGATAAAGAATTAGAAAAGCATAGTGACATTATGGCAAAAAAAGAGTTTAAAAGTTTAAAAGTTATAAAAGTTATAAAAGTTATAAAAGTTATAAAAGTTATAAAAGTTAGGATGGATTAATTATTTTGTAGAGTCTTTACTTAAATACTTGCATGTTTCATTGTCACGTTCAAGCTTGATCTCTGATTTGAGTGTCTTCTTCAGAGTGATGGTTTCCACCGTGAAGTACCTTGTCTCCTACTCCAACCCAGTCAAAAAATGAGCACTTTGCAAGGTTCATGGAATGTTCCAACTTCAATATACGGATCAGGTCGACAATCCTTAATCTGGGAAGAAAAAGCATGGATGTATGATCTTGTTATCCATCCACCTATCAATCCAGTATTCTAAATGTGCACCATTGTTTTAGATTTGTAAAATATTATCTATAAGTTCGAAATACATGTACATGTCATGATGTGAGTGATGTTTAAAGATACTAAGGTTTGAAAGGCAAGGAGTGACAACACATAAATCCTTCAACTCATCACCTTAAGAAAAGGGTTTTTACCAACTTTACAACCTGCTTTCAATGTGATGTCCATGGCAGATGATATCATTGATAAGTGTACGGTAAGCCAATAAAATATTGACAACCCTTTTAAAAAGGAATAATATTCATATTCATTTTTGCAAGAATGAAGACATGATAAATGAAAATGTTTAATTATCAACAAAATTAAGAAATTTACTCGTTTATTCTTCTCATTTTACTACTAATATTAAAAAGCAATCTTAACAGCTTCATGGTAACTATAATATGTAGGGATGACCTCTGTTTCCAATAAATCTAGTCCCTTGCTGTACACATGATCTATCAATGTTCCCTTCTCAGTAGTAGCATTAACAACATGCTGTTTGTAACCTTTATTACACATTAGCTTGTTTACCTGTGAAGAACCTTTAAACAAATCCTCATTAAAATCTCCCATCACAATACACCTAATGCTTCTTTTGTGTAATGCATCTAGCAAATTGTCTAATGATTCACAGAATGATTTGATACTATATGATGGAGGTCGATAAACGACTGAAATCACAACAGAAACTGGTTTGGTGACAAGAATTGCGATAAACTCTAAGTTGTCGACAGATATGTTTAATCTACTTGAATATGTATTCTTGATATACATTGCAACACCTCCGTGCGATTGTTCTTTGAGTACATTTCCAACTCCAGAATTACAGTATGACAGATGTCGTGGCTGATGATAAAATAGAAAGTTATCTAAAATAACGTCACAGAGATCATCATCATTAATCCATGTTTCGGTCAAGCAAATAAAATCTACATTCACAAATTGGCACTGGGATTTGAAATCAGTAAAATGCTGTTTTAATCCTTGTACATTTTGCATTACCAAAGAAAAGTTATAATCGTGAATATCTTCAGAAGTTTCATTCTCGATAAACGGCTTCATAATCTCAATGCGTTCTTTAATTTCTGGATTACAATATATACGTTTAGGATCGAAATGTTCTATCACAAGTCCAGATAACGAAGTAACGCGACTAAGCCCAACATATGCCTGTCCAGATTGAAATACATTTTTTAATGATACAACAGCTTTGTCTAATGTCGAACCTTGTACTTTATGAATTGTGCAAGCATAAGCAAGCTTAAGTGGAAATTGTTTTCTCACATATTTCTTACCAATGGATTCTTCAGACATTTCGATTGAATGAATACCAATATCGGCCTTCTCAAAATTAACTTTGATGCAAACTGGATTCAAATTTGTATGATCCGTTATTATTTCTGTTACATTTCCGAAACATCCATTTGTCAGGCCTTTACTAACATCAATGTTTTTGAGCAACATCACTCTAGCATTAACTGCAATCCACAGATAAGGAGGCAACTGGGTTTTCATCTTTGTATAAGGTTTTTCCAGTATTTGATTTCCTTTTTTAACATCTTTGTCCATGTCTTGTGCTTTTACGCATATCACATCTCCACATTTTGTATGCAATAATTTCTTGTTCCAAGCATCTACTTCATTGTTACATGCATAGATATGCAGAGCATTTTCACATTCTTCGCCAGTTTCACAGGACTTGAGCATTGCTAGGTCTTCATCACAGAGAATTTCATCCCCTTCTTTTACACGTAATCTATTTAAGAGAAAAGCGAATTGGGTATCGTCTTTTTGTCTCATAATGTCTTCAAGTTCTACTTTCTTGAAATTAGCATTCCACAATGCACCATTGAGTGTGTCTTTATATAAAGGAGTTCCTAAGACTGGAGGTAACTGATACATGTCTCCCACAGCAATAACTGAAACACCAGCAAAAGCAGTTTGATCGCGTGATTGTTTTATTTGTCGTAGGCGGCCGTGAATGTAAGACATCATCTTTTGATCTACCATTGATACTTCATCTATGATTAAAATTTGCAATTCAGCCAGCTTATTTCGAAGGACACTTATTTTGTTATCACTCAGCGGTTGATACAGTCTTTGTGCATTGATTGGAATAGAAAGAATACTATGTATAGTATTGCCATTGATATTGTATGCAGCTACTCCGGTTGGAGCCATTTTCAATACTGAGACATCATCAGGATGTGGCAACATTCGGGCTAGTATACGTGTTGCTTCATAGTAAAGACATTTGATCAAATGACTCTTTCCAGTGCCAGCACCTCCAGTTAGAAACATATGAAACGGTTCGACCGATTTTCCATTTACTCTATCTAAACACCACTGTCGTATTTTGTAAAAAACACTCTGTTGCTTCTCATTCAAAGACCTCATCAAAGAATGTCCATCTTGTTTGGAAATTTTTACTGAACGTAGTTCGATGCTATAGTCATCTTTTTTCGGTTCATTCTTTAAATCTGGGATATCAAGATCTCCATCACAATCTTCGACATCTACATTTTCTTTGGGATGTTCAAGTCGCTCTACTTCCTTTTCCGGACATAAAAGACCCCATGCATCTTCGTGTGGACCAAATTTGTCAAGATGCTCCTGTGCATGATCAATTGCATCGGCATTCATTTCAAACTTCTTTCGGTTAGTACAGACAATTGACCAGACTTTCTCCAATTCACGTCCACATATTTTCACAGAACCTGTCTCGTAGAACTCTTCATGTGTTTCAAATGTTGGGGGCTTTAATTGTCCATCTTCAAAATATGGCAGAAACAGTTGCAAAATGCTCAAATAATATTTTTCGGGTGAGATGATGGGTGAGAATCGGGGATATCTTACAACTGCATCTCCCGTACGAGTACGCTTCTGAATATATCCCAGATCGTTATCTAATTTAAAGACATTTTTACTTCTTGTACTTGGCTTTTGGGATGCAGTTAAGATTCTATACTGAGAACAAAACGTTGCAAGACACATATCACTGAATTCTGCGTTTTTAGGTCGAGCTTTGTATCTGTCGAGCTTGCTAGGCATCCAAACATTCTCATCATCATCATTATCGTTATCTGGTCTGCTTTTTATAACGCTTAATGGTAAACTCATTCTGACAGGGTTGGGTCCAACAGGAATGAATTCCACTTTCCTAGAACATTCTTTCAATCTGAGACTGCAAACACGATAGACGCTTTCTTGAGCAGACACTTCACGATTTTGCATGTACACCTGGCCAAGTTTTTTCATGCTTTCCTTTGCGTTTTCATTTCCCTCTTTCATTTCTGATAGTGTATGACTCAATAGCATTCCGATTTCTCGTTCAGCTTTTGACATGTAGGATACAATATAAGCCACGCATGCAAATACATTTGTTACGAACTGCAAATCCATGTTGGCATTCCAGCTTCTTAGTAGACTTGGATTAAACTGATTCACCCATACATCTTGTATTTCTCTTTTGATGATTATACTTTGTTGTGATGCTAATTCATTATGTGCATTCTCAAATTGATTTTGTGTAATGCCAAGCTTTTCAAAGAGATGGTTTACACTGTTGTACTCGATTCCATTGGATAATGCATCTTTAACTGACTTCAACAATTTCTCTGCATCATCTTTAGTCTTTTCAGAAGCTTTAACTTGATCATTGTCCTTTCCCTTATTTTGCACTTTCCCACAATCTTTAGCTGGAATCTCTTCAACAGGTGTTACAATGAATGTTTTTCCAGATGGTGGTCTCGGGAAATTAAATCTACACGCCTTTCCTGTTTTTGTGCAAGATTTAGAATGTTTCTTACTGTGTTGTTGGACCTTGCTTACTATTTCATGCAGTTCTCGATCTTCCTTTTCATCCGGTTTCTGGCAAGAAATGTATTTATCTACGAATTGTACGACATCATCATCTTTATCGATACCCAACTGTGGAGCATTTTGAACCCAGAACAAGGCATGAATGTGAGGGGAACCACGAGCTTGATACTCTACTCTCCAAAATGAATCAACTACTTTACCAATCGGTGCAGCGGGAGATAAAATAACTCTCTTCATAAAAGTGTGAAATCTTTTATCAAACATTCTGGCAACTGTTACTGGATTTGATCTTAAAAGATTACATTTTTCTGTGTAGTCTAATTCACTCGATTCCCTGGTGTCTCCTTTTTGTCTAAGCAATGTATTCATTAATTCTGGCCATCTCATATCGGCAGATGAGAAAGAAGCAAACCATGTGGGCTTTCCAAGCTGTCTTACCATTGCGAGAACATCTTTTTGTGTCTTTTGCCAGAATGGAGGTGTTCCACGAATTTGCTTTAAAAATTTATAGCCCTTGTCTGATTTTAGTATTTTTTTAACTTTCTCTGCATCTTTCAAATCTGAGGCAGTTATTGAAGACGAATCATCTTTTTTGTTTGGACTTTGCCTTAAAGCGATAGAAACTTGTGATATAACCTGTTGAATTTCATAAATATATTGTGCATAAAAGATGTAATCTGTATTCTGAGCAAATCTATTGTCCACGTGCATCAGTCGGTTATGCAGATAACGTCCTAATGTTATTTTTTCATCTCTTCTATCATGGAATGTTGGTTGACCTTTAGGAAATAACACTGGGAAACATTTGGCCTCATTGCTTTCATCTTGTAGAATTGATACCGGGCTTCTTCCTTCACAAGGAGCACAACATATTATGTCTTCAAAATACTGATCTAATATTTCCTGTCCAATATCTACTGGCTGGAGACACGAGTCTAACTGAATACCGCGTAAGCGTTCTTCCATATCGTCTTCAGTGTCGTTGTCATCTATTTTTTGTTGTAGTTTACTGTTGTCTTGCATGTTTTCATTAGCATTTTTGTCTTTGGACAAAATGTAATCAATTTGTTCTTCCATTTCCTTCCAATATTTTGCTAAACGAGCTTTACCACCGATTTCCACTGCTTCTTCCTTTTCATTATCCTGTTCATTTCGTTCAAGTGAGTTTTCCCATTTATCATTTACTGTAACATCGAAATACCACTTATTATTTGCTTTTAAATACTGCAGAGCATTAAGCAAGTTAGATTTATCTACAAATTTGTACTCATAATAGCTTTTGTACGACAATTTTCGTTTGAGTTTAACACGGATCAATTGATCTTCAGTCTGTGGTCTTGGCAACATATCTACTGTTTCATAAGTGTTTGAAGGCACGCACACGACTGGGCCATGGACTCCATTTTGACCACCTTTAGGCAACGCCATTAACTTCATGAAAGGGATATTCAATGCAATCAAATGCTGTTCTAAATTGTTCAGATTGGCAAGCTCTTCTGGAACTTCATGTAATTGTAAATTGTTCATATTTGCTTCTGGAGGTACTTTTCCAGCTTTCAATTTTCTATGACAGGTGAAGCATATCCATAGTGACGATCGGGCTGACTGGCCTATTAAACATTTGACCGGCATTCTGAATTGCAAACATGCAAATATTCTTCACTTATGCATGTCTGAATTTTATAATTACTCTTTTTACATTTCAATACTTGGTTCTCAAAGAGAAGTTTTAAGCATACACAGCACACATATTCTGGGCCATGAGAAATTATCTTTCTAAATTCTTCAAGTACAATATCAAACTCTGACAATTTTACTGTTCGAAGTGCAAACCTTTTTCGATTTTGTTTTATTACATTTTGCCTATATTTTTCAATTCTTTTATATTTCATTTTTAAGCTCATCAATTTCTTTTCCTTAAATTCTTTACCTTTGTATCTAATTTTTGACAATATTTTCATGGTATCTTGTTGTTTTTCCTTGAAATTTTCATTGTTTGAATATTTACTTCTTATTTTGTTTTTATGCATTTGTCTGAAATGTTCATTGTTCGAATATTTACTTCTTATTTTGTTTTTATGCATTTGTCTGAAATGTTCATTGTTCGAATATTTACTTCTTATTTTACATTTATGCATTCGTCTGAAATGTTCATTGTTCAAATATTTACTTCTTATTTTGTTTTTATGCATTTGTCTGAAATGTTCATTGTTCGAATATTTACTTCTTATTTTACTTTTATGCATTCGTCTGAAATGTTCATTGTTCCAATATTTATTTTTCATTTTAGTCCTCATAACTGTTTTAACATTTTCTTTGAATCCTTCATTTATCAAATATTTCTGTTTATTTCTATACAAAATTTTCTTTTTATAATGTAAATCAGAATGATATTTGGTTTTCATAATATTTAGCTGTATGTTCCTGAAATTTGAATCCTCTTTATACATTTCTTTTTGCCTTTGTTTGACATAAGCTCCTTGCTTTATTTTGTGTGATAAATCAGTGTTGTAATTCTCTTTTTGTCTTTGTTTTACTTCATTATTTTTTTGATTTTGTAGGTTAAATCATTTCGATATTTATTCTTCGACTTATTTTTCCTCATTTGCGCATTGTGTAGACACTTTTCCTTTTTCTTAATGATTTCATCTTTGGCAGGGCTCGTTTTTCTCTCATTTGCTGTCTCTTGCGCTTCCTAATTTGATTAGAACTTTCTCTGTTTTTACGTTTTTTTTTTCCTGGGTCTACATTTCTAACATGAACTTCTCCAATTATTATTAATTCGTCATTACTATCAGCACATTTGCTTGCATCAATTCTTAAGCTGTCGTTCTCATTCATTTTCACCCATTTGGATTTTCGAATTTCCTTGCCAAGGTCAACATCAACTTTTGCATCGCTTTCGAGATTACTCCATTTTCGTTTTCTGCTTAAGATAGAGTTGGAATTCTGAACTTTCGTCACTAAATTCAATCTATCAGAGTCATTTTCACATTTAGTACAATTTTTTGAGTCTCCCTTATGTTCATTTTCATATTCTGTTTTTATGGAGTCATTTCCTTTCAGAAGACAACTATTATTCAGCTGTGGTTCTTTTAGTTTGGTTAAGGTAATTGTCACACTCTTCAGTTTTAATTCCTGACCGTTATAATGTACATCATGAATGATCGTTTCATTTGCTTCTTCAGGGAAGACAAATACATTTGGGTTATCAATCATCTTTTGTGGGGAAACACTCTCATCCAATATTTGAACTTCATCAAAGCTTTCACAATGTATGGAACATCCAGAGCTTCCAGACTGACTTTCACTGTGCGTATTTGACGAAGGAATTGGATTACAAACAAAATCCTGTAACTGTGGATAGCCTTTCAAGGTTTCATTCTTACCGGAAGTTGCTTTAGCACATACACTAGTTACTTCATATTCGGTGTGCAGGGGGCATCCCATTGATTTTGCTAACCTCATGCAATGCTTGTACACACCTTGCCAGCTTTGAGTACGAAGTACAACACTGTGTCCGTTACAACTCAGGAAACCTCGACTGCTTCTGGAATGTGAATCAAATATAAAGAAACCATCTTGACCAGATAATACAATGAAAGTACTTCTAGCAAATGTCACAAAACATGCATCAGAATCAGTACAGAGTTCTTTTTCGAGTGCTTGCTTCAATGTCATCGAAAGAGACTGGGCCAATATCAATTCATCTCCATCTAACAATCCAGTGACTGGTTCACGGCATACTATGTTAAACAATTCATTGTACGCATCCAAATATTCAAATAGATCAGATATCAATAAGTATTGGTTGTCGAGTGAAGTGGATCGCCGTATGTAACAATATAATTCATTACCGTTATTCAAAATCCTGTCTAGATCTGTACTTTTCCAATCATTGGCATTTTTTACCTTGCTATACAACAGTGCAGAAAGTGAATTGGTAACACACTGCTTTCCACTTAAGTCACCAAATCTTGTATCACCTTGATTGAATGTCCCTTGGGCAACAAGCGTTATTTGTGTATCGACTCTCGTGCATTTGTCTTTGTGATCACTTTCAAGGGTTTCGTCCTTGGTGTTACGTTCGTTGTGAACGACTGATTCAGACTGATTACTTGCACACTGTTCATATGTCATGTCCAAAAGATTTGCAGTACCTTTCCTCTCATCGTGATTTATCGTACCAGTCTCCAACGTGAGCCTACGTTTTTTTCCCTTTGGATCAACATGGTTTTGAAATGTTTCAGGAGACTTATCCACTACTTCATCAATTTCTTCCTCTATCTGCGACTTGGATCTACACTTCTTCAACACATGCTTTACTTTAACATCAGCCTGAATTGATGGAAATGGCAGAGTTCTCTTTGACGTTCTATCTTCTTTAGTTGTTCTTGTCTGTTCCAATGAATTGAAATTGCCAAAATCTACAGATTCAACAACATTAAAATGAACATTTCCTGTGTACAGTATATAAATTCCCTTATCAGATGTTACAATATTTATTCTTCCAGGTTTCTTTGCAGAGAACAATTGCCAACATGGTACTTGGTCATTGTATGAATAAATATCAGTATCGATTAAATTTGCTAAAGCGCTAATTTCAGTGTCTGTAGCCCACGTTCCGTCTTCCTTTATTCTACGTTTCAAAACATATTCTCTGACTGTTCTATATTCTTGGCTCAATGTATTACTAAACATGTCCTTGGTTTGCAATAAATGTTTCACAGTGGCATTTCTTAGAATTGCATGATTACGCTCAGTTCCAGAAATTACATAGGAAATTGCACGAAAGAAACAATTGCCATCACCAGTAATTTGTTTACTCTGTAAAGGAACTCCAATACAGCTATTTCTATCTAACCTTGAATCACAGCCTTTGCCTATATATCTGATATTCAGTTTTGAACAAATGTTCCGTTTGTCATTATTCTGGAGGGGTACAAATTTGAAATCTTTATCAGGTCTGTCACGTAATCCAAGATCTGCTACAAATTCAACTTCTTTTTCTGTTTCATCAGTACATGTGTACATATTAGCATCTATTGCCTTTTCAATGTCTTCATCTTTGATATTTGAATCTGAAGAAGATTCTAAAGGATTCCTTGAATGAGCATGATCATTAAATGACATATCAGTATCATTGTCTGTACCATCTTTTACTGTATCAAAGCTTCTATTCTCCAGGTCATTGTCAAACACTGCATCTTCTTGTACACCATCTGAAACATCTGAAAAATCATTTTTCATCATATCATCATTTTCCAATACCGATTCACAGACATTGTCTACTGGTTCATTTCTGGGCATATCTTTTGGTCTATCACAAACATTCAAAGGCATATTGCGTTCTGGTAAAACACTTCTATCGAATAAATCACATCCAGGACTTGTGTCTGTATCACTATCAGATTCTATACAATTTCTTGCACACGAACGTTTCACTGGTATATGAACATCACTGCCACTATCATCGTCCGTTTCAATTTCCCCATTTTCATCAAAATTTGATTTCAACAGATTATTCTTTGAATCGTCCTGCACAACTCCATCTGAACCTTTGTTGTCTTTCATATTGCAAATATACTGGTCTGAGTGTGTATCATTTTTACATGTATTTGTATCAAGTCCTTGGTCACCTGCATTCATCGATATCTTTGTATCTTGCTTCTCATTCTTTACTGCTAATTCTATTCCTTCATCTTTGTCAAATCTAATCTCCGATTTATCAGAAGAGTGATTTCCATCAGTACCCTTTTTCCCTTTGGAAGACTGACCTTTCTTGTTCCTTGCTCGACCTTTCTTGTTCTTTGCTTCTTTTTTCTTGCCACCAGCATGAACTCTGTACTTTCGCAAATCCTTGATCTGTTCAAAAAGATTACAAGTACATACATCGATATCAACACATGTATCTGTTCTAGATTGAGTTGGCAAATTGCTTGCTATGTCTGCCCAGGATCGTGTTGTGCCGTTTGTTTCACTTTGCACACACATGTCATTATACAACTTCATTGCATGTGGGGACTGCACACTGTAGGCATATAAACCTAAAAGAGTTTCTGTGTAAGATTGAACACTGATATCTTTTTTCTCGGATTTCACCTTCTTTTCTTTACAATCAACTTTCTTTCGGTCTTCCTTTTTTTTCTGCTATGGCTTTCATAGAATGTCTTCATTGCTTTGCCGATGTAAGTTACACCAGGTTCTAAGACTTTGCCATTCACTGATTTTCTTCTGATTTTCCTGTCTGTTTGATGATCATCTATTGATTTGGGATACAATTTCTTGATTTTAGTTTCTCCACCCATTTCGTCTTCCTTGATTTCACAATTACCCAGTCATCCTCAAATTTTCATTTTGCATCTCTTCGTGTTCTATTTGGGATGGATTTTCCATAGCCAAAGGATTATGTCTATCAGACTCATTTGTTTGCCTGTCAGTTATATGATGTTGTGTTCCTCTCAATCGATTGGTTTTCTTTCCCTTTTTACCATACCTCTTCTTTGATCTGCCACATTTTCTTTTGTTGGTCGTACTTGATAGGGTCCTTGATTGGTTCAAATCCAAGTAACAGTGTTCATCATGATCACCAAGAAGTTCGTATCTATTGAAATGAGAAGGGATGCATACTTGATCAAACATGCGATGAGCCATGTTGTTATTGCCACAAAATGAACAAATCCAGATCAATGTCAGGTCACTCAGTCTGTCTTCACAAGGGAATCCCATACATGTCACATGAAAATGCTTACTACAACAGTCACATCTTGCATCACTTTCATTTTCTTTGATTTCATTGTTACAGATACAGCATTCATTAAGATCTGGGTTGGTCACCAATGCACAACTAGTCAGTATATTCATGATTTCATCAAGTGTTTTCTTAAATTCAATTGTATCCATCATGGTAAATTTTGCTTATATACTTGCAACAGTTCTGGTTAATAATTACAAGTCTACAATTAACGGTTCTGTAACTTGATATATAATGTTCTGTATATATTCCTTACTCCAATAGTCTTTTTATTTAAATATTCCTATTGTGAATTATGAAAAACTAATCCTTACTGATATTAAACTCTATGGTATTTCAATAGCCTAGCTTTATATACACTAGCTTGTACTGTGTTAAGGAGCTATAATGTTTTGTCTCAAGATGGCGTTTTTTTTATAAAATTATGAGTAGGTCATTAATAGCCTAAATGTATTGTAGGCCTATATAAGTTCCCAAATTGCTAATTTCTTTGTTACTCTCTCTCTGCAAACAGGTTCACTTTATATCCTGATCAAAATATCTTCTTATTCTTTCTCAAATCAATCAACCTCACTTATATTTCTAAAACTATATATTATCCTGACCCAATCTTCTTTCTTACTCTCTCTACAATCAAGCTTACTTTTATTTTTAAAATTCTGAACACTATATATCGAAGGATTTCTTTCTTTTCTCTTTACAATCAACAACGCTCACTTTTCTAGGACTCTATATATTGACACAAATTTTGTGTGATTATGGTCTTATCAAGTTCTAGGAATTAGAATTAAATTGCTTTCTTGCTATTGTTCTTCTTTTTATTTCAGTTTGTTTTTAATTCCTTTTAGAAACTGCCAAATATTTCTTTCTAATTTACAGTAATTATGTCTTCTAAAATGGCAATACAGTCTTTCAAACTTGCAATATTGCCTTCTTCACACTATTTTGTTCAATCTTCTTTATTCTTTGCTGTGTATACGCTCTTTTTACTTTCCCAAGATTACTAATACTACTGTTTTGAATTCTAATAGAGGTCTTATCAAGTTCTAGGAATTAGAATTAGATTGCTTTTTCTCTATTGTTCTTCTTTTTATTTCACTTTGCTTTTAATTCCTTCTAGAAACTGCCCAGATTTTTTTTCTAATTGACAGCAATTTTGTCTTCTAAAATACAGTCCTTAAAACTTCCAATATTATCTTCAACGACTACTTTCCAATCTACTTTACTCTTAAAATGTATACCTCTTTTTTCTTTCCCAAGATTTACAATATTACTGCTTTCAACTGTAATTATGGTCTTATCAAGTTCCAGGAATTAGAATTAGATTCCTGTTCCTCTATTATTCTTCTTTTATTATTGCAGTTTACTTTTAATTCCTTCTAGAAACTGCTAATAATTTCTTTGTAATTGACAATAATTATGTCTTCTAAATGGCAATACAGTCCTTCAAACTTCAATATTTATCTTGAACGACTACTTTTCCAATCTACTTTACTCTTTAAAATGTATACCTCTTTTTTTTTCTTCCCAAGATTTACAATATTACTGCTTTCAACTGTAAGTATGGTCTTATCAAGTTCCAGGAATTAGAGTTAGATTCTTTCCCTCTATTGTTCTTCTTTTTATTTCAGTTTACTTTTAATTCCTTCTAGAAACTACCAATAATTTCTTTATAATTGACAATAATTATGTCTTCTAAAAATGGCAATACAATCTTTAGAAATATTCTGTTCCAGTTTTGATTCGATTCAAGATTTCCAGATTCAAGTTTCATTCAGTATGTATGTTTCAGATTCAAGGTTCAAGATAGTTCAAGTTCAAGTGCTAGTTCAAATACAAGTTTCAAGTGCAAGTTCTTTGGAAGTTCTTTAGTTCAAATAGTTCAAGATAGTTCAAAATAGTTCAAGATAGTTCAAGATAGTTCAAGATAGTTCAAGATAGTCAAGATAGTTCAAGTGCAAGTTCAAGTGTAAGTTCAAGTGCAAGTTCAAGTGCAAGTTCAAGTGTAAGTTCAAGTGTAAGTTCAAGTGCAAGTTCAAGTTCTTTGGAGAGTTCTTTGGAGAGTTCTTTGGAGAGTTCTTTGGAGAGTTCTTTGGAGAGTTCTTTGGAGAGTTCTTTGGAGAGAGTCTTTGGAGAGTTCTTTGGAGAGTTCTTTGGAGAGTTCTTTGGAGAGTTCTTTGGAGTGTACCACCCTCGGTCCTGCAAAAGACAGAGAAAGAATAGAAAAAAAAATTAATTAAATTCAATAGACACGTCTGGGGCAATTCTTGAGAAATCATCAAGGAGCTCGTATCTATTGAAATGAGAATGACTTAATTATTAAATCACTATTGCTTCAAATAGACTTCCCCTTTAAGTCAACATAGATATGTGCCAGATCCAGCCCCATTCACTTTTACATGATTGAAAAGCCCTGATAAGGGCTCGTTTGTACCATATTATGAAGTTTATGAATTAATATGGATATAGATTAGAATCTAGAATATACTTACTTTAATTAGAGCGATGCTGGAAAGTGTGCTTAGATGTTAAGTACTTGTAATCTGGCATTTTCGTAAGTAAGAAGACCAGCCACTATCGCTTTTGCAACAGCGCTGTGTTGTGTGCATCTATTAAATGCAGTGCACAATTTATCGTCACCCTAGTGCGGGCGCGGGTGCCAGCGGTCTATTAAGGCAAGCCGGGATTTGCGGAACCAGAAGATAGTCTCAGTGGAGCATCCCGAGACCAAAATAAAGTCATAGTCATATAGTCATAGTGATAAAAACACCCTAAATGTAAAAAATCTGCTCACAAAAACTAAAAGGAAACCAAAACCCAAGGAGAAAATCATCTCATACGAAAGAGTAATGAGAGAAGCAATTTCAAAAAAGTTTCATCAAAATCGGCTATAAAATAAGAGAGTTATGAAAGTTTGAAAACACTTGTTGTACTTTCTATGGGGATCCTCAAATTGGCAACGCAAATACAAATAGTGAGCCCTCATCCAATGCTTAAAGATACTATGTCCCTTTGCAGCCAACATCAAATTCTGAAGAACTTGCAGAAATTATGAATATGTCATGTATGTCCTATCTGTCAAATTTAAACATTAGCAGTGTCCTAATATTCATATTATGCAAAAGAAACCAGTTTACTTGCTAGACTAGCTTCACTGTCAGACACTATTGAGTGACTCACTGGCTTTTTCTTCTTTGGTAATAAATACATGTACATAAAATGAGCTGTAAAGGGTATATGAACATTTGTCACATCAATATCCCACTTCTGCTTGTAATGGCCAAAATTAAACTGATTGAATCTTTGCGCAGCATAAAATGTACGACCATTCGGTACAATGGTCTGAAAATAAGACCATTACTTACTGGCTCTATAGTTCTTAAGTCGATTCGACAACTAATAGTTGTTATTTTCCAACTTAAAGACATTTTCAAGCCCCCCCCCCTTTTTTTAGGAAGTTCTAAATTAGTATTATCTTTCAAATGCCGTTGGAATGTAACCTCCTCATTTTGTTGGCCTGCAAATGGGACATAGTACCTTTAAAGGTAAAGACCAGTTTTTGGTCATGCGATTGCATTGGGACG